AGCCACATTCAAAATCTGTTCTGGCTGCAACAAAATCCGAGATGAAGGATTTTGGCGACATTTACAAAAAACCCAAAAAATGGTTGGCCAGGGAAAGCATCATCGTTTTAAAAGCTGACAAGAGCAGGGCATTAGTACTCATGAAAGAGACCCCCTATAGAAGTCTGATACATAGTATTATTTAGCAAGGCACAAAGAACTAGAAAATGTGGTTGACCATTGGGAGGCCTTTTTTATTGCTAATCAAGAAACAAATTGGTGAGTTACTACAACATTATATAACCAAAAACTTTATTTTTACTATAATAGATACCAGGCAGAGATTCAAGTCAAACTGGGAGCTTTGCGGATTGGAATTATATGTATACATCTCCCCTTCAATTGATAAAAAGTCATGTATTCAAGAAATTCAAAAAATTATCACACAATAGTCTAATTTTATTAATTTATGGATAACAGGTGGTGATTTCAATGCTTGAATTGGAGAGAAGTTATATTCAAAATATAAAGGAAGAAATATCAATATTAGGAATTGGAAAATATCTAAAGATAAAACAGTTAATACTGATGGAAAATCATTACTAGACTTTGTTAAAAAAAATGAACTATTCATTTTAAATAGTAAGTTAAATAAATGGAGATTTTCCTGCCAAATATACTTTTGTAGCACACACAGGCAAATTTATTATAGACTATATTATTTGCTCTGAATTTTTTAGTTCAATGTCTAATGATGGAGGTACTAAACTTAGATGATTCAGATCATTTTCAGATACAATTGGAATTAAGAGGAGATTAGAAAGAGTAAACAAATTCTAGATATCTACACAAAATCAAGGATAAAGGTCGAAAATTTGATAAACAGAGGTTTTTAAGAGAAATTGAAAATAATGCTAATAATATACTATTAAAGGAAGAAAATAAAGAACCAATAAATAATTATAATAATCTAATATTGTTAATAGAAACCTAACAGTTCAGGAGATGTAAAAAGTATATGATACCAAAATTCAAACAAAGATGGTGTGATAACAAATGTTACTATTACAAAATGAAGAAACAGAAGAGCCTGCAACAATTTAGAAAAACAAACTCATAACAATCACTGGAAAAATATCTAGAAAATAAGAGAATATACAGAAACTATATAAAAGTGAAAAAGAAAAAATATTTTTTTGAAATAAGTGATTTGTTAATTAAATCAAAAGACTCAAAATCATTCTGGAACACCATAAATGGTTTCTGTAGGCCATTTTCAAAAACTGGTGAAAAATTTCTGGTCTCATTTGACAGTTGGTATCAATATTTTAATAAATTTTCAGATAACTATTCATGTAAAAACAGAATTAATATTACAGACAATATCCAATTAATGAATAAACCATATGAAAAGGTATTTAATGTAGACAATTTATTCCAATATTAAAAAATTAAAGGAAAAGATAGCCCCAGGCTATGATTCCATTCCTAATTTCATAATAAAAAATTTACTGATGAATATCATTAAATATTTAGCTAGACAATTTAATGATCTACACAATTTGTATAAGATTCCAAATGACTGGAATAAAGTTATTTAAAAAAGGAGAGAGAAAACATCCAAATAACTATCAACCATTAGCACTACTTTCTGTTTTCATAAACTGTTTACTTCTGTTCTACTGACAAAGTTCAATGATTGGACTGAAAGGAATAATTTTAAAAACCACACACAATTCACATTTATTAAAGATAAGAACACTCAACTGGCTTTCTTTGTTTTTACAGCAATAATTCAACTACAACTTTGTAAAAAAAAAGGCATAAGGTGTTCGCCTTATTTCTAGATATCAAAAAAGCTTATGATTCAGTGATTATCTCAAATTTTCAAAGGAAAATGACTAAATATCAGGCAGAAGATAAACCTTATAAAAATAATATGATTATTATTTGGCCACTATGAAGTGGTGATCAAGCAAGATAATTTCCAATGGCCGGCTTTCAATATTGACTGTGGCTTATTACAAGGTGATCCCTGGTCACCACATCTGTTTAATTTCTATAAGTTTGATTTTAATGACTGTTTTAACAGAGATGATGATAGATTGCCCCGACAGCTGCTGCTTTACATAGAAAGATACAGGCTTTGAATGAATATTGTGAAGAACTAAAATGAAAAATCAACCCTAGTAAATCATCTGTAATGATCTTTTGAAATGGAATCAGACTTTCTTAGAAACACATGTCCTTTTACCTCAATAATGAAGAATTAAAAATAGTTCAAGAGATCAAATTTCTGGGAATTATTTTAACTCCTACATTGTCGTTCGAGAAACAATACAAAAGGAGCATGATCAAAGCCAACATACTGATTAACAATATGATGAAACTATTTAGTCAAATTAAATTGAAGAATATAATAATTCATTTTAAACTGTTCAACTCTTTATTATTATGAATTCTATAGTATATGCTTCACAGATCTGGAGTCTAACTAAAGCTAGAAATAATTCAAAATAAATTTATTCACAATATTTTCTTGTTAGAACATAATACCCCCAGAAGTGATCTTAGATTAAAATTAAACAGATTTAAACTGTGTTCATTTTTTATAAAAAGACTTATTAAATTTTTTTCTAAGATAAGATATTATGAAATATTACCAGCTAAATTACTAAGATTATTATACCAAAAAATGTGTACTGATGCTCAAAGAAAAAACTGGGTAGGTCAAATATCAAATATTAATATATTCAACAGTTATGGATTTTCAATAGGTCCCTTTATGAAGAAAACCAAAATGAGCAAACTACTTAGTTTACAACTGATACAAAATGGCTTTGAAATTTCTCTGTCTCAAGGTATTAATGATACTAATAACCAAAAAAATCCTGAATGGTATAATATATCATTACATACCCATACATCAATGGTTATATGTTTTCAAATCTAGCCTTTAACATAAAAAGTTCTTTATTTAATCTTAACTGAATGAAGAGATATTAATAATCAATAACAATATTTATGATTTAGCAAACTGTTGATGCTTTAGAAGCAGGGCATGTCTCCCTGCTTCTAAAGCATCAACAGTTTGCTAAATCCATATGTTCCAAAATCCAAATGTTTTGTATATGTAAAGAGGTACAGGAGTTGTGAGATAGATACAACCTCAGTGCATTGAACAAAGTCAACAACAAAAAAATTACATATTCCTTCTTTCATACAGCAAAAATTGTAACTATATATAATTTATATAATTATGTTAAAAAATTTGTTATGATCAGGTGAGAATTTCACCTAATTGTTTGATTAACGTTAAGTATGAATAATAATAACTCCCTTTGTAACAAGCTAAGGCCTAGTATGAATAAAGGTTATTTGAATTTGAATAAAAAGAAACTAAATTCATTTTGAAATANATACGTTAAATTAATTAAATTTTTTTAAAAATTTTCTAATTTTAATGCTAACATTCTTATTTCGAATGTAAAAGATGACATACAATGTACTGTATGCTTTATGCACATTACCTTTACGCATTTTATATACGATTTATCTCAACGTCTTTGAAACTGACACTAAATCGAATATGGCGCTAAACCGAAGTATTTCAAACAATACGACTTTTATAAATACAGTAATTAGGTCTATGCAAAAATATGAATTTGGTAGCTTAAAAACAACTTGATTTGCTTATAACGGTGTCATTTTCAATACAAAATCTTACATTCACAGATTCTGAAACATTGTCTTTAACATTAGTCGAGTAAAACCGTTCACAAATACGAGAATGGTGCAATGTTTACGCGTTATATTCTATATTTATCTATGTAATATTAAAAATATATATAAATGCTAACAATGTTGTGTAAGAAGTAAATTGCACTGGAAATAATGTGATAATATACGATAAAACTAACTGTTATTTTTTACTAATTGGGACACCCTATTGTAACAGGTAACAACCTATTACGAATAATGATGATTGATTAATTAAGAAGAAAGCATCTCCTCTCTGTAACAAGTCTTGCCTCATTACAATAAAGATATTATTATTATTTTCGATCTAATGAGGATTTCCAATAATTTTATTGTTTAGATTTCAGGTGTATAATGTTTGGTTCTTTATTTTGTGGAAATAACAGTTTTTAATTGTTTTTATTAGAAACTAAATTTTATGTATAAAAATGTATTTCTTACTTCTTCATTTCCTAAACTATTTTCTAATGCAGCAGACTCATGATTATCTGGCTTAATGTTGTGGATTGCTGAGCCTCATAATGAAAACACTGGATAACAGAGAGATTGAAGATGAGGCATTTCCTGTGCAGTCAAGAATGTCAGCCTGCCACATATGCAATTTTTACAGTACATATGATAATGAATACAAAATTTTCAGGAAAGCAAGCAGGTAACGTGTCTGCAATTACCATAATGCAGAATAAAGATATGTTACAAAAACATTTGCAATTGCAATCACATAAACATTATTATTTAATGATACTGTACTAAAAAGTACAAAATAATTATGAAAACATAATTATTTTGTACTTTTTGTTTATATATAAAAAAACTTTATGACATTACTTATCAGGCTGGATTCTTGTGGACAAGATGATCAAGAGTCTACTGTAATATTGTATCATAAAACATTTAGAATATATGATACAGCATATTGTATTGATACAAAAGAACATGTTCTTACACTATTAAACATCAATCTAGAAAAACCATAGTTCGTTTTGTCTACTATAAAGTATTATATTCTTGCAACAGATAAACACATACATATATGTGGATATAATAAACAGATTGTATAAAAAAAATTTATCATCTGTTATATAAATAAATAGTAAACTCAAAAATTCTTTATTCTTCGAAAGTAACTGTTTGATAATGATATATCAATTTTAAAATGGTATTACTAAAAAATCTGTAATAAAAATGATTTTCCACACTATTTAAATTATTTATCTATACCTGACATTTAATCAATATCTTGAAATGACAATATTACTTACTTATATAGATTATGGAAATGTTCTTTATCATCTGAAGTTCCATAATCTGTTTTCCATGCATGACCAATAGTAAATTTGTGATAACGTAGCATATCCATAACCCTAAATAAAATAAAATCTCTTAATTGACAAATTTATTCAAAACTTTAGAAACAAAAGCTATTTCATCACATTTTCAAATAATTTCTCTCAAATTATATATTAGTATGATAAGTTAATTAAATATATGGATAAATTAAAATTTTTAAAACAAATTTTCTTCCATAATAAACTTTGTCTTTGCAATAATGATTTCATTTAATAAATATACATAGAAAACCAAACTTGAATTACCAATAATCAAATGACAAAGCATAATTAGATGTAGTAGGTGACCTGTGAGAGATTATACTGTACTTTGTAACTTAATTAGTCTAAAAGTGAAAATCAGATAGTGGTCTAGATAGCAAAATTGGCAACACATCTACAACATAAGCAAAAGTTGTGGACTGAGTTCCACTCTGAATAATTCCAGAATAGACTAAATTAATTTGTTTATTTCTGAAATTAATAATTATGAAATTTAGTACAATATGGCAGAATAACTGCCTACTTTTTTCCCAAATTGTATAATATTTTTGTAATTACAGTCGACCCCCCTATATTTACAGTCCCTATAATTACGATTCCTATAAAACTACGAAAAAATTGTGACCGGTATCCGTAAAAAACAGTAAAAAACCCCCTATGATTACCTCAAATGTCATCGGGCAGCCAAACTACTTTCCCACCGTCCGTAGCGCCAACTACGGAGAGATTTCTATCGTCTGGACAGTATTATATAAATTATATATAAATTAGGTACTGTATATATAATTATATATTAACTTATTGTAACTTTGTTATAATTAAATATATAATTTCCGCCGTCTAGCGTGGCGCCACGCTACGGAGATTTTTACGCTAACTATCGTCTGTCAGTATGTAAATTAGGTACCGTAAGTCTAATACAGTACTGTAATTTTATACATTTCTTGTGAAAGAAACATTTCTTATTCAACGGCGATTAAAATTATTTATATTAATGATGTCTCCGAAGTTCAAGGAACTATTCGCAGAAAAATAAGTTATTAGAAATCGGCCGCTGTTTGCTGAGCTGTTCCGCGACGAAAACAATGTTGAGCAATGGCGATGTCGAATGGTGACACTCGGTAAGTAATCCTACAATTTTTTGTTTATAGCGTAGTTTATACGGATTATTCCCAAAAAATATATACGTATTTTGGAAATGTTGAGTCGGATTAGTCTAGAATCGATTAATTTTATGGAAGAAAATCTTTCAAACAGCCGTAGTCCGTAAACTTGACACGTGTCGGGTTGTGATTGGAAGGATTCGTAAGAAATCGGATTCCTAAAGAATGGAACGTATCTATATCTTATAGGGGGGTCGACTGTATTAATAATTAGCCATGTTCTAGCCTGATAATTAATCTGGTTGTCATTTGATTATTTAATTCAATGTAATTTATTACAATTTATACAATACAAAATATTTACTTAAATCTTTTATTTAAACTCATTCTTTATAATTCATATGTATGAAATAAAAGATAAACATTTCATTTCTATACTATCTAAAAGAATAAATTTTTATAACAGTAATATAAATTTAAAATGTGAATTATGAACATAAATGATAGTATTAAATAAAAATATTTCACTCTAATTTTCTTACACCCCTATTACAAACAACAATATATCAGATTTAAATTTAAAATTGATAATATTTAGAGCAATAATTAGGCAGCATGAATACTTTTACTTATAATCAATAAAGAAAAATTTTTAAAATTAACTCATTGCATTATGTAAATTTTAAAAACATTTTAGATTTTTTTATTTCATGAATATAATAAAAAAATAAACTATGTTTATTGTGGAAGAAAATTGCAAAGGTTAAGAAATAATGCAAGGAAATGAAAACTCACCCTACTTGTGCAACTGCACATCCAAACAAATCTGGTCTTTGATTAACACAAGCACCGACTAGCAAACCACCATTAGAGCCACCATTAATGATCAATCTAATTTATAAGGGGAAAAAAAAAACATTATGTATATGTACTGTAAATCAGTGGCGTGCCATGACGTCTGATGATAAGGAAGCTGTGTTTTTGTAAAAAGCTGACTTCCAGGGGCAATCAGTTAATTGCACATCAGTGATGGTCTAGGGTCCATTTGTATTCATTTGTCTGATAAGCCAGTAAAAACTGTAGACTTCTCTAAATGTATTTTTAATATCACAATTACATTCTGAATTGCTAGCCATGATTTAAGGGCTAAAATTAAAAATAAAATTATTAAAACTTACTTGTATACATACCTGGTACAAAATATTCTTCAATTGTATGAATATACTTTTAAAGAAAATTATAATTAAATATAGCTTTGTAAAGAAACGTACATGAAAATAACAAAATATTCTTTACTTTTTAAATCTTAAAACAATCCACTTAGTCAAATAGCTTGATATGAGTGGCTGGAATCAGAGACGGTCCAGGTAGGTGTACAGTGTGTGCATGCCAAATCCCGAGGGTGCTGATACTGGTAATGTCAAATGCCACTTGTTGCATCACTAGTGTACCTCAAAGGACACAACAGGATTGATGTAAATTTTAAATGTTTCTCACCATAGCTGTAAAAATCTACATGTGTTAAACTTAACACTAAGTAGATTGTCTGTCATTTGTTTTCTAATTAATTTGTTTTAGGACCAGGCAGTGGCATACCATGGGTGTCAGCCGCCCAGGGCAGAGGAAAATTTTGGCCCCCCACTTATTTAGGTATTTCAATTTAAAAGACCAAAATTCAGTTTTGTCACAGAACAAGCAAATGAAAAATTCAGTGCAGCGACCTGTTTAAAATAGTTCTATTGGATATTAGTGGTGTATATGAACGCAAATGAATTGTACAAGAAAAAAAAAAACAAAAAACAAAAATGGTCAACTCCTCGGATGAAAAAGTTACTAGTTCACCTGGACGGTGAGCCGATTCCCAGACTGTCCAGACGATAGCACTATCATAGGCGCGATGCAAGTATAGTTTAGGATGTTTCAAATTTTTACAAGATATTATTATTTATTGTGAAATTTTGCCACCCCCTAAAAAGTGCCACCCGGGGCGGGCCGCCCCTGCCAACCCCACTACGGTACGCCACTGGGACAAGGTGTCCATGGAAATTTCCAAAATGTATAACTTTTTAGTCACTTTCATTGAACTGGAAAAATTTGTCTTTATTACATCTAATATTATGAAAAAAATCAGTCCCCACTGTACTCAGTTAAACTCTTTTGTTTAAGTAAAATTCTGGCTCTTTCAGCAGGGTTTTATTTATGTCCCTAATTCCCTAATCTCTTAATTATTTAACTACTTCTTAAGTAGAAATAAATTGAAACAAGTTACTTTGTACTTGAATATTTGTAGTCTTGGGAAAGAAGTGGAAAGACAAATTTTTATGACAACAGATACATAAATCGTAAATTTAAGGTATATAAATTCTAGAGCTTTTTTTGTACTTTTTTCATCTCATTCATTAAATTTAGTTGTAAATGATGCTGCCAAAGTAACAGTTAATTTTTAACATTGTACAAGAATTGTGCATGTTTTTTTCTGCATCCCCTTATAGATGGAACATACTAAATGGTAATATCATTAGTTTAATATTGAAATTTGTAAGTAATACAAGATGGGAGAGAAGAATAAATATATCAAATATTTTAATGGATTTTTTAAAACTCTTGTCAACTATACAGAACTATCATAAAACATATCAGTAAACTCCTATAGGTTGGGTTAAGTTATAAATCTACTTGCGGTTCACATAATGGGGCAAGGGCAGCTAATAGCCCAGAATCAGTCCTGGATAGAATCATTGGAAACATTATATGATATTTTGTTGTGTAGCATCCACCAGCTAAACCGTGTGAAGTTGGTGCTCTGTAAAGCGCATGTTCAAATGCACTTTACACCATTCAGATATTTTCGCCATGGAAGCTGTCCCATATTCAACAATACAGCACTTCCATTCCGTCATTGATATTCGAATATACAATAGAATAGAAGTTTATAACTTCTATTCTATTGTAGAAGTTTATAAAGAATTTATAAATAGAATAGAAGTTATAAACTTCTACAATATTCTATTGTAGAAGTTTATAACTTCTATTCTATAATAGAAGTTTATAACTTCTATTCTATTGTAGTATAGAAGTTTGTAATAAGATACATAATGTGGTTATAATAAAATATAAACTTTAATTAATTCAAAGTACATTAAAATATGAAAATAGTCGCAAAATATGTATTCATATTTTAGAAAATACAAGGGAAACGGCACTTCCACCGCTTCCAAGGATGGCACGCCACTGCTGTAAATAATATATTTAATCAAACATTAACTATTTTAAGTCTACAAAAAACAAACAATATCAACCTACATATTTCAAATTTAAAATAAACAATCTAACTGCAAAAAATAAGATATCAAAATCAAAATTTAAAAATTATGAGTTAGAAACTGTATTTCTATTTTGTTTTCGAAACCGTGTTTTTTGAATACATTGGACTTCAAACTCGCATTTGAGTTATAAATAAACACTTGGCTTTATTTCCATCATTTTAGTTGAACTGAACTCAACTAAAATGATGGAAATAAAGCCAAGTGTTTATTTATAACTCAAATGCGAGTTCAAAGTCCAATGTATTTCTATTGTTACTTTTGTAGCTTTCAAGTGTAAATTTTAGCTACATTACATGTATGCATACAATTTTTCTCCCAATTTTAAAATTAGAACAAAATGATGATGCCAAATTGTGATTTGTGATAAAAATGAATAAGACAATTATTTATCTTCAAATATACCAAATGACAATCTATTTAAATTATCATTATTAGAAAAACTTCTGAATATCATTGCATATATAATAGCAAAATTATCTATAACTGCTGTCATAATATTTTAAGTTTCAAATGATTTTATTTCATTTTTATCTGAACATGTTTGAACTTTCATATTATCAAATCAAAATTAAAATAAATTTTATAATTCATTTCAAGTTGGCCAATGGTATTTACATTTTTTAATAAAACACAAAAATATCACTGTAAATGAAGATTGTATGTTGCTGGTGATTGTGAAGATTGATATCCAAAGATATTTTGTATCTGCTTTAGTTTTGTAATTTATTTAAAATTTATGATCATCAAGATAATGTTTATAATTGTAAAAATTATTTAATTGATTTTATTTGCATGAAGTAATAATCTATTTTATTCAAAAATTTTATAATATTAAATTTACTATTCATGATGATAAACAAAAAATTAACACAAGAATTATAATATCTAATATAATAAATTTGACTTTTGCATTACAATGAAAATAATGTATCCAATAAAGAGTCTGTATGTGACATGTTATGTGTAAACCACTATCATTATTATTATTATTGTGTTTTGTGAGTTATACTCGATTCACACCAGTGGCTGTGTACTATGCCGGACCAGAGTCAAGGCCTAGCAACCAAAACAAAACTAAAATTAAATAAGTGTGTCAGTGTGTGTGTCTGTATTCAGGAATTTCCTAACAATGTGGCATGTATTCAATATAGTGGCCTTCTGTAGTGTGATGTATGTATTTCTACTCAATTCTAATGTTCCCAGACTTTTGTGTAGTGTGTGTTGTATCACATCTGTACAGGAGAGAATGACAGATACAATAAGCACCCTATCCATCTTCCACAGATGCCTTATTTCCTGGGCGAGTTCCGTGTACTTGCTAATTTTTTCAGTGCATGTGTTTTGTACATTGTGAGTGTTTGGAATGGCTATGTCTATAGGCAAGCGCCAAATCCGACAGAGGGCGCTGTTTTCGAACCAAGATGGCTGCCGAAACAGGTAACTGTGATGCTTGTGCTGAAGAGAGCATGAAAGCACCGAAGGTTATGTCGAAAAGCCACACCATGTGTTGCGTGGTAGGTTGCAGTTCCAGAGCATTACCTGGACTTGTAAGCTTACATGTATTCCCAAAGTGTTCGAAGCTAAGAAAACTATGGGCAATTAAATTGCGCATCAGTAAAAAGGTTCATGACAGAATGTTGGTGTGCAGTAAACATTTCAATGACAAAGATTTTTTTCCCACCACCACCAGTTATTTTATATTTCCACATCATGTATCTTTATTTTAATTTCTTTAATTAATAATTGTTTATTACGATTTAAAATTAGGATTGGTTGCCATTAGGCGCCGATTAAAAAAAGATGCAGTGCCATCTCAGTGCATACCAAAACGATCTTTAGAGAAAACGCTACCCTCAACAAATGTTGATAAAAGGAGTGCTCGTGCTGCAGCTCGAGCAGCTTCAGGTAATGTTGCTAAACGTCTGTTAACATAGAATATGATTTACATAAGAGGAGTTGCTCATTATTTAAGTGGGGTTTTTTACTTGCTATCAGGAGACCCTGGGAAGAGTACTGATCATGAGGCTGAGAAAGAATTAATAGCAGCTGAAACGTTGTTGGAGCTGAGCGCATTTAGGGAACAGTTAAGAAAAACAGAAGTGTCATTGGAGCTGAGCTCAGTCAACAAAACATCAGAGGAAGACTGAGTTTTTACCACCTCCACATCACATGAAGTTTTGCCTAATATTGTGTTAAGTTCAGAACAACCTACACTTAGCACTATGATTCAAACAAACAGACAGCTCTGTGCATTTACTGGAATACAAACGTTTGACTTGTTGAATGTTATTATTAAAGCCGGAGAACCCCTTGACAAAAATCAGCGGCTTTTATCGTTCCATGATAAAGTACTGCTAACTCTTTGCAAGTTAAAATTAAACATTACCTTCATTTGCATAGCTCTCTTATTTAAAATTCCTGAAAGTACATGCAGAAGATATTTCAAAGAAACATTAATTGTATTGGAGGCAGTTTTAAAAAGTGCAATATATTGGCCTAGCAAAAGAGAAGTTCTTCAAAATTTACCATTAAGTTTTTCCAATTATACAAATGTTCAAATAATTTTAGATTGCACTGAGTTTGCAGTTGAAAAAACAAAGTGTCTAAGGTGCAGAATCTGCACATACTCACATTATAAAGGGGACAATACAATTAAAGTCCTCATAGGTGTGTCTCCAGCAGGACTGATTACATTTGTGAGCAAAGCTTTTGGTGGAAGAGCATCTGACAAAGCTATCATAGAACAATCTGGTGTGTTAAATAAACAAGAGCCATTTGTTGATGCAGTAATGGTGGATAAAGGTTTCCACATTGATGAAGCTTGTGCAGAAAGAAACATCCACCTCATAAGACCATTTTTGCAGAGACAAACTCAGTTTACACATGAACAAGCACTGGAGACAAGTCAAATAGCATCAGCATGGGTACACGTGGAGCGAGCCATTCAAAGACTGAAAAACTTTCAAATTTTGTCAACAAAATTAAGTTGGACCATGTTGGGATTGATAGATTCAATTTTGTGCATTACTACTGGTATTGTAAATCTAAGTAGTCCAATTCTAGATACTGAAAGATTTTAAAAACCTAAAAAAAGAAAAAAAAAATCACATGCCAAAGTCAGTGACTTACATATTTTTATTAAACATTTCAACAAAGAGTGGCAATATATACAAAAAGTACTTTTTTCTCAGATTTTCAAGCATATCATTTATAAATTCATTGTCTTTCTTGACTTGAATAATCAGAGCAGATTCATGTTTACTGTAAACATATAAATGGCACATTTCCATGTTTAACAAAGCCAAGCCCAGCTGAATCTGGCCATAATATGGATTTTTCTTCTTTAGCTGGTATCCATTGTGGTTGTCACCTGTTAAAAAGTTTTTTTTTTTACTTGTTATCAAATCTTGAAATGATGAAGTTACTGCAAGAAGAGGGCATTTTATTTCAAGAAGATGCGATGGTTTGCCATGTTGAAAAACAATGCCATCCGGTGAAAATGCCAACCAAGGTAACTGGGGTAAAATGACCAACCCAACCTCCACTACGTTTGTCCCAGTGTCCTTCATGTATTTTTCTCGAGCAACATTTTCATGACTCAACCCATACCTTGTAGCTTCATTTCCAGCAAATGAATTAAAATATAAGGAACGGATTTTTTTAGTCCAATCTTCAATGTTGCATGAATTAAATGTGTATAAGGAATAGCATTTACTGCCTGAGATCCTGAAACTTCGCTCAGTATTCCAAATAGGGTCACCCTGCACAATGTTTTTAAGCATGTTAAATGCTTTGCTAGTGTCAACACAGACTTTATCTTTATAAAATTCAAGTTCTTGCTTGTTTAATGCAAACTTTTTAATGCACAAGTGATCTTCTGTGCAACAGCTGTAACTAAAATTGATACTGGAATATTTTTCAGCAATCAGATTTTCTGTTTGAGAAATTGAAGTAATTGATTCCAATAACTTAACTTTATTGGGAGCTGCTACATCTTGTTCCTGGATGACTTCATTTTGCAAAACATTTCTTCCAGTAATGTGCTTTGCAAGGGAGCTGTTTGGTGCTCCACTAAGCAGCTGTTCACGAATTGATTCATCATTCAAATCAATACTCTTTAGTGGCAGCTTCACATGGCAAAACTCCTCAACAGGCTTGGGAAAATATGTTGACTCTTCATCATTTTTTACCTTTCCCCACTGTCTTTTTAAGTCTGTACAGCTTGCATCTTCTAATGTATGAACTCCAACTCTAAAACCATTCAAATATTTCAGTATTCATATATGAGATGTACACACACATAAAAAAAATAATAATAATATGTGCTACAAACTTTCGACTGGCCTATGCTGTATAAGTACAGAATGACTCAGCAGGGCTGCCTTCAGATTGGCACTAATTTTAACTATTATGATAAATAAAACTATGTTTTTATATTGGAACATGGTGTATACTGCTTAAAATATTTAAACACTTCTCACCTGTTAACGTGTAATAAACATGCTATTATATGTTTACAAAAACCAGACAGCCCGGCTTTGCACGTGCATTCTCCCTGTAATTGAGATGTATTAAAATGACAATATCTGAGATTAAATGTTTTAATTATTATTATGAAGTATGACTTACCTGTATTCCTACCGATGAAATCTTTATGTTTATTTCGTGCGGCTTGTTTGCAGGTCTGCTGCTTTGCAACACTAAAGCAACAACATGAACTTCAGTGTTGTTGTTAGCGTTTAATCCACAAAATATGATATGTCCAGCATCTAAAACGGCTTCACCTTCTGTAAGACAATGTTCTGTCTGTCGCCGATATAGTCTAGAATTTTACATAAATTCAATGATTTCGCCATTTGGTTCTCACAGTAATTGTCACCGAGGGAAACTGAATTGACTCCAACACTGAAACACGTGGTCGATTCGTTACCTGTTTCGGCAGCCATCTTGGCTCAAAAACAGCGCCCTCTGTCGGATTTGGCGCTTGCCTATAATGTATGTGATTTTATTGTGTTTGTCAATGGGTGTGATGTCTGGTCTGTTGGTAAATTGTGTTTTATCTGTGATTATGGCTCTGTCATAGTACATTTTGTGCATGTAGTTTTCCAATACTGTCTGTGGAATATATTTGTAGTATGGTTCATGGATGTCTAATAATTTGTGTTTGTTTGCAAGCTCTTGGTGTATTATATTTGCTACTTGATTATGTCTGTGTAAATAATCTGTTTGTGCCAAGAGCTTGCACCCAGAAGTGATGTGTTGTATAGTTTCTGGCATGATGAGACATTTTCTGCATGTGTCATTTGTGAGTGTTGTATCTTTGAGTATGTGTTTTCTGTAGTTTTTAGTATTTATGACCTGATCCTGTATGGCAATCATGAATCCTTCAGTCTCCCCAAACAGGCATCCTCGATCTAACCAGCTTGCTTAATGGTGTCTATGCTTTTTATATGTTGTGTCAAGTCTGTAAGATGTGAGTGTAAGTTTAGTGGTGTGTTATTTGAGTCTTATTATTATTATTTATGTACTAACATTTCTTTTTATAAATCAGTCTTTTTCAGTTTATATACAGATAAAACATATAAAATTTTTAATGTAAATATCAAAAATATTCACAATAAATTTTAACTGAAATCTAGTCTTTACTTATTCAACAAACTAACAATTACAGAAGTAAACAAACAGATCTTGAATTTTCAAATACAGATTACGATATGTGAGTACTTAGTCTATCAGTAGTAGTAAAACTTGAATACAATTTCCACAAAAACTTATAGAAATCCCTGATAAAAAAAAGCAATTCATGAAAATTTGAAAATTGTTTATTGACTTCTCTGATATTGTTATTTGGTAGATTTAAGTTATATTTTTAAGAAAATATTTTTTACCTTAAAATAATTAAATCTAAATCTTAAAAAAATCAATTTAAAAATCCCTTTCAAAAAATCAAGCATTGTCATTTTTTCATGTCAACTTTAAAAAAATAATCAATGATCTTATAAATGCTATAATTGCAAACATTACTAGATTTCATTATATGATTGTTTTCAATAAAATTTTGCACAACAAATGTCTATGTGATCTACTGTATTTGTTATAATAAATTATACAGTCCCAAGTTATAAAAGATTAGGCAACATGTCCAAACAACAACAACATAAAAAACGTCGATTGAAGGATAATTTAAATGTAATAATACTTAAATTTATTCTATTGATTATATTGAAATTGGGTACATGGATACATATTAATTATACTATATTTTCAAGTTTATAACAAATCATTCTTATCTGTAAGGTCTGCATTCAATGATATTTTTCAAAGAAAGCTATTAAACTTTAGAAAAATCAATAAGAACTTTTAATGCAAATTAAGAAATAAAAATGGGTATTTTCATATAATAATTATATATTAAAATTTTTATTTAAAAAATTTAAATATGAAATCAAATCATACACTATAATCTTGTTTTAAAAAAATGAACTAAAATTCATTAAATCATCCAAAATCATCTATGTTTTAATAATCAGTGTCATTTTACTAAGATATAACAAAAACATATTCATTGACATAACAGTTACACACCCAGACAGAATTGTTCAATTACTGCAAAACTCAGCATACACCTATGTCTCAGAAGGTGGCTAATATGTGGCTAATTGTACTGTACACTAGTAATGCCACCTTAAAATTCCTAATGCAGTTTCCTATAAAAAGGCCCACAAAAACTCACTGTGTTCAGAATTTTCAGTAAACTGATCTGTTGTTTGGAGGTCTTCAAACATAAGGCTTGCCGATATTATATGATGCAGTCAAAAACATTATGTAAAACTGATAAAATTTGACAAAGGCTGCATCACCAGGCAAAGGGAAGCAGAACAGCAGTTTTATCAAACTGCCACCATTCCCTTATAACCCACTGCACCCAATATCATTTTGACCTGGCTGTGAGGTGTTAGATGCAATGGATATATGAGGACAACATATATATGACAGACATCTCTCCTGGTAGTCTGTCTGGGGCATCAAGACATTACCAGGAGAGATGATTATCTGATTTGAGACAATCAAATAATCATCTCTCGTGGTGAGCATGAAAAACTACATCATTTTTGTCCACTCAGAGATAGGTAGAAGTCTCACAATAGAACCCCATTTCTTCCTGCACCATTTCTAAGCAACTAGCAGAAACAAGTATGGATGCATGGAAACCAATTTTATTGGCATTTATGATGCTGGCAGCATATTGTCTTAATTGTCATAATAACAAATCCTAGTTCTGTTTGGAAACAGACAACTTCCATGTTAGAATGACTGTGAGAAGACCAGTGGTGAGTGCTCCAATCCAATCTTTAAGTGGCACACTGTCTCCATTGCTGAAGACAGTGTTCCACTTAAAAACTGGACTGGGAAGCCATCTTGTACGACAGCTCATCAGCATAGTGGTGTAAGGGATTAACATTGATGGTAAAGCAATACATTAGAAAATCCTGGACTCTGATGAATTCTCCTTTCCATAGCAAGGCTGAAAGCAGCCATTATTCAGCTAAATAATGCTTGGATACACAACTAATTTTCCAGGAATGTTTCTGTCACATTGCCACACTTCCTTGTCCTGATTGCTTTCCAGATTTATCATTCATTGAGCATTTGTGAGATCAGATGCGAAGCCAGCTTCAACCATCAACAACTGTGAGGGCGTCTGGAATGACAGTTGCAATATGTGGATTTATCTGTTGCAGAATAGCATGTGGTGTCTGATTCCATGCCTGACCATATTGCTGCATATAACTAGACAAGAAGAGATTCTACAAAATATTAAAGGTTCATTTAAATTGCACTGTTGTTCTACAGTATATTGTATCTTTATTATAACATTATAATCACTCTTGCTATCATAATTATATTTATACTAATAAAGTTTTATTCAATTCCAGTGCTTCCTCTTCTTAGTGTATAATGTGTGTATGTATATACATATATATTATGTAATTATTAATGAATATATTACATTATATTATTTCAATTACTATATATATACAATTATAATTAATATAAAATAATCAACTTTTTAAAGAAAAACTTATGTATAATACCTTTTATTAGAAGTAAATTTATTTTTGATGAGATATTCAGCAGCAGAAATAAAGTCATCAAATACATTTTGCTTATTTAGAAGCCTTCCTTGATTGTGCCATGTTTCACCATATTCTCTAATTAAATATAAAAAATAAAGTGTTAAAGAAAATTTATGTAAAAATGACAACAACATAATTATAAAATTTTGATGATAATTTTTTTTACCCTCCTCCCCTGATGTTAGCTACAGCCACTATGCCATGTAAATGCTGCATGAAAAGAATTCGAGAAGGACTAAAAGATGGTTGAATACTCACATTAAAACCACCATAACCATATAAAAGACAAGGAGCATTACCATCTTTGATTACATTCTAAAAAGTAAATTTAAAATCTATAAATACAAGTTTCAATTTATCACAATAATTATTTCATATATAAATTTATTACTGAAATATAAGAACCAACCTTATCATGAACAATAAACATTGGAATTTTAGTTCCATCTAAACTGTTATAAAATATTTGACTTGTAACAAAATTTGAATTATCAAATCCTGGTACTTTTATTTCTCGAAAAACCTATAAATTATAAGATGACAAAATATTAATTCTTTCACTGTAAACAAATTATATTTGACTGATTATCTTATTTTACTGCTTATCTATACCATTTCTTACAATATTTGAAATTTTACATTTTTATATACAGGTCAGTACAGGTAATTCCATCTGTAATTCCCTGACCAATTATGACATTATTCCCTGACTTATTAAAACTGTTGCATTTTCCCTTTCCATTATGTAATATTCAACCAAGTCTTTTTAAGACTGTTTTGCACACAATTATATAAATTTTTTATTAAAAAGCCTTTATAAAAAAAATGAAAAACTTCATGTAAACTCAATTATGTAGTTGAATTCTTAGAAATCATTTATGTATTCAGGAATAAGTTTTTGATAAATACAGTAGAGCGTCGTTTATCCGAATCAATTGGGGATTGGTGTTGTTCAGATAACTTATTTTTCGGATAACCGATTATGCACAAAAAAAATATATTAACGTATCCTGTGTTGAAATTTTTCTCCGCTGCATGTTGCTTTGCATTGAATTTTCGTTGATATTAACCCTAACGTAAACTTTTTAAAATAATAATCGCAGCTATTGTATCATTAAATATTATTTATTTATTTTTTACAAACAAAATAAATATATTGAAAAATATAAAAACAAAAAAAAAATTATACTTTAGAAGTTAATCTAGTATCAAAAACGTTCGATTCAGCATGACACACAGTCCTCAGAAAAACACCACACAAAAGTGCCAGTGCTGCCAGCTAAAACACACACACCAACAAAAAAAATATTGGAGTAGCCCAAGATATAGCCAAAGATTGCAGCGCCACAGCATTAGCGAAAATTTAAATTTGCCGACTGGAATTCTTTCGGATAACTGACATTTTGGATAAACGATGCTCTACTGTAGCTCTTGTGATAGTTGTTTTAACTTTTCTCCATACTTCATCAATATTTTCAAGAGCATTTTTTAAGCTAAAATTTTCCCAAAATTCTATAAAACATTCTTCTCCTGTTGTTTCAATTGTCTAACAAGATAATATACTTTAAATGTTGAAATGACTTCCTCATCTATAATCTAGAATAATGCAGTTATATGGTTTAAAAAAATAACTAACATTTTGATACAAATCATTAGGCTTCACTAGATGACCAGGAATATTATGTAAAATTAGCAAAATTATAAATTCAAGATTTATGTAGCAAAAGAAATCATATGTTTTTTTGATGTTGCTGTTTAAATTTAATCTCAATCTAAATGATTCAAAACGTATTAAGTGTACACCACTGATTTTGTACTAATTTACTTTATAGTTACTTTTGTGTTTACTAATAAATACTTCTGGTCAATACAATACAGAAAAATTCCATAAAAATGTTTGGATACACTAACTATAGTTACAAACACTAACCAACACAATAACTGTAATTACTGCAGTTTATCCACCTAAAAACCATGGCTAAAAAACAAATTAGATTCAATGCTAATTTTAAAGCACATAAAATTTAATATATAAATATATATTTATATATTAACATTGTTATTGAATATAACAACTTTAAATCCTTTGTTATTAGATAAAAAAATTACTAGCAGTAAAACTATTTTACCTCAATAATTAAGAAAAATATATTAAATATGTAAAAAGAATTTACTTTTGGTGCTGGTTCTTCAGCTGATNACACACCAACAAAAAAAATATTGGAGTAGCCCAAGATATAGCCAAAGATTGCAGCGCCACAGCATTAGCGAAAATTTAAATTTGCCGACTGGAATTCTTTCGGATAACTGACATTTTGGATAAACGATGCTCTACTGTAGCTCTTGTGATAGTTGTTTTAACTTTTCTCCATACTTCATCAATATTTTCAAGAGCATTTTTTAAGCTAAAATTTTCCCAAAATTCTATAAAACATTCTTCTCCTGTTGTTTCAATTGTCTAACAAGATAATATACTTTAAATGTTGAAATGACTTCCTCATCTATAATCTAGAATAATGCAGTTATATGGTTTAAAAAAATAACTAACATTTTGATACAAATCATTAGGCTTCACTAGATGACCAGGAATATTATGTAAAATTAGCAAAATTATAAATTCAAGATTTATGTAGCAAAAGAAATCATATGTTTTTTTGATGTTGCTGTTTAAATTTAATCTCAATCTAAATGATTCAAAACGTATTAAGTGTACACCACTGATTTTGTACTAATTTACTTTATAGTTACTTTTGTGTTTACTAATAAATACTTCTGGTCAATACAATACAGAAAAATTCCATAAAAATGTTTGGATACACTAACTATAGTTACAAACACTAACCAACACAATAACTGTAATTACTGCAGTTTATCCACCTAAAAACCATGGCTAAAAAACAAATTAGATTCAATGCTAATTTTAAAGCACATAAAATTTAATATATAAATATATATTTATATATTAACATTGTTATTGAATATAACAACTTTAAATCCTTTGTTATTAGATAAAAAAATTACTAGCAGTAAAACTATTTTACCTCAATAATTAAGAAAAATATATTAAATATGTAAAAAGAATTTACTTTTGGTGCTGGTTCTTCAGCTGATAAATCACAATGATAAATAATTCCAGGAGTTAAAAATGATGTAAATTGATAAAATATCTAAAATAGATGAAAAAAATGTCATTTATTATATTTTTAAAGTTTAGATATTTATTGTAATTTGTTAATGTTAAAAATAATTATAACTCAATTAAAGAATAAAAAATAATTAATCATAAAATTTTTTATAATTTTTTTATGATTAATTATAAAAATTAATTAAATATTTATGCGAAAAAGAAAATAACTGAGATCAGGAGCATTAAACCCTGATATGTTGACACCAGATGTGAAAAGCGAAGCCTTTTCAAGATAAACACCCAAACTTTCTGATACCAGAAAGTGGCTTCTTGTTCAGGATGGGTTAATTAAATTAGACAAAGGAGATTGGTGAAATCTCTCTGTCTAATACGTCAGGAGCCTGACACCAGTTAGGATAAATTTCCATATTGCATCCTAACTCGCGATTTGTATTTGAATTAAATTTATCCAGTGGCATAAATGATATAGGAAGGAATAAGAACCGACAATAAAGTTATACCTTATATAAAAATAACTGGACTCAAACCAGGATTATTACAAAAGACACATTTTATTTATTGAGTAAACATACTAACAAATTAAAGAATTATGTAAAATTTCTATGAATTCAAACATAGGAAATAAACCATTTCTATTAACATCCCTTTCCTTATTCTAACTTATTTGCAGAAAGAGAGAGTTTACAAACATTGATTCACATTACATTGATAGTTCAATTTTGATTGAAATGAGGTCCAAGAATAAAGGATCTCATTTCAAAAGTGGTTTGCACAGGAAAACAAATGGTTTACTGTAATCATAACCATCATTTTACAAAAGAGCATGTAGCACTATTCAATATATTAATTCTTTTTCTATTTAGAATAACTGTTTATCTTTTTAAATGAAGCAAAATAATTAATGACTGAATTTTATAGTTTATGTTAGATAATATATAAACAGATGAACTCCAAGGGATATTATCTGAAATTTTAAAATTATAATCTTTCTCTTGCAAATAATTAACATCCTGTAGCCAATATGTCTCTTAATTTTTGTCCAGAGGTAGTGAAAAAAATCATCATTAGGAAAGTCTAAACAGCTGATAAAGGACAATCCAACATTATTTAATAACTTTTTTATCGTAGTGGGCCATATCTCTAAAAATGCCATATTAATTGATAACAAAAGTTTGTTGTATGCCAGTTGTCTATAATCATTGCCCAATAAAACAATAATTTTCTTCCAGAATCAAAGCAGATTTAATAAGTTAACAGCAAGTAGTAGTAGTAGTCTGCCTAATTCTGTACTTATCACAGACCCTGGCAGAGAATGATTTAGGTGAAAAATTTCCTTAAAAAAACCACTATTTTTCCCACTTTGTCTACCAATGATCTTCTCCAAATAAGAAATGCATATATAAGGACCTTGAATAAGTTCTCGTTGTTTTTTTGTGAAAATTAACACTTTATTTTAAAAAAGTTGTAATAAACACGTCACTGAAAGTATTGTCCATCACTAGCCACTACTTTCTCCTATTGTTCTGGCAGCATTTGAATTCCTCATCGGAAAAACAACACTTCTTTTGAGGCTATCCAAGAATCAACCCATTTTTTGGCATCTTCATAAGAATGGAAGTGCTGCTCAGCCAGGCCATGTGCCATCGATCAGAACAAGTGATAATCCAAAGGGGCGATGCCTGGTGAATATGGTGGGTGAGGTAGGACTTCCCATTTAAGCATTTCCAAGTACGTTTTCACCAGTTGTGCAACATGTGGCCAAGCATTGTCATGTTGCAAAATCACTTTGTCGTGTCTCTACTCATATAGCGGCCGTTTTTCCTTCAATGCTTGGCTCAAACGCATCAATTGTAGTCAATAGCGATCTCCCGTGATGGTTTCATTTGGTTTGAGCAGCTCGTAATAAACTACACCTAGCTGATCCCACCAAATGCAGAGCAGAAGCTTTGAACCATGGATATTCGGCCTTGCTGACGATGTTGATGCATGGCCGGGCTTTCCCCACGATTTTCTATGCTTAGGGTTATTGTAGTGTATCCATTTTTCGTCGCCTGTTACGATATGATGCAGAAAACCTTTCCTTTTCTGCCTTTGAAGCAACTGTTCACATGTGAAAAGATGCCGTTCGACGTCTCTCAGCTTCAATTCGTACAGCACCCAATGTCCTTGCTTTTGAACCATTCCTAATCTTTTTAAATGTTTCAAAACTGTTGTGTGATCAACTCCTAATGATTCTGCAAGTTCAGCTAGAGTCTGACATGAGTCTTCATGAAGTAATGCCTCTAATTCCTCGTCTTCAAACTTTTTTGGTGCACCAGATCGTTCTTTATCTTCAACATCAAAATCATTATTTTTGAAGCGTCTAAACCAATCTCTGCATGTTGTTTCTGACAGAGCACGGTCGCCGTAAGTCTCAACAAGAATTCTGTGTGCTTCAGGCTGCAGATTTTTTTTGAATAAAATAGTGCAATAAAATTCCCCGCAAATACTCTGTTTTTGGCACAAAATTAGACATGTTTAACACAATGAAAAAATAAGTTGTTTACACTTCGGTAAAATGACATATACTGAATTTCAAGGTCGCTTATTGTACTTCCTTACAGATGCGTCACCATCTAAAAATAAACACACGTGGTTCTGGTAACGCCATCTGTTAAAGAACAGCGAGAACTTATTCAAGGTCCTTATAAAATATTTGATCTAATTAACAAATTAAATAATTTTTAAATGATGATATTTTCAGTTTAACAAACAGTTTGATGAGTTTAGAAAATTTTTGTTTTGGCATCAAAGTGTAATTTTTTCCAAATGGAAAGAAAAGAATCTATGAGTGGTGAAATAAATTCCTAAATATTTAAAGTTTGAAACAAACTCCAATTTATAGTTCTCTAAATAAAATTTATCTATTAACCATATTAATTAGAAACAAATGTTAAAGTTTTAAAACTGTCAAACATATTTTCATAATTTTATAACTAAATTTTAATTTTAATTTATGAAAATATAATTTTGATCAAACAACTATTTTTAATAAAAATAAATTGTTTCATTAAAATACTTCAGAAATTTATAAAAGTTTTAAAAGTCTTTAACTTTTCTTTGCTTAATTTATGATATTTATAAACTTAAAACATTAATTGGAACCTATCAAAATGATTTGAATAAATTGAGAGGGAGAGAAATTAGGATACATCTATTGCAAATGTAAACTAAAAAAATAATGAACTTAATGAAATTTTTCAATATCAAAACATTATCTGAAATAATTATTATATAAAGAATAAAAATATAGTTTAAAATAAAACAATAAAGAATAATCAATATACTTATATGAGCCATTATAAATGAAAGTGAAATAAGTCCATTTTTGGAAAAAAATAAGTTAGTGATAGATTTAGTGAGACATAGATATCCTTTTTTTATATATATTTAATAACACAGTCAATAATGTAATAATGTACAATATCCTCATAAATTAATCAAAAAAAATATTAACTGTAAAATGTTATCGAAAGAATGTTTTTTTTTTTTTTTTTTTTTGAAAGTTGAATAAATCCATTCGTAATAATCAATAATTCCAATATTGTACATCATTATGATATTAAATATATTAAAAAAGGACATGTATGTCTCACTAAATCTATCACTAATAGCTCATTTTTTACATTAAAATGAGTAATTATTTATTATGACATCATCACAATGCCTGGCTGCAGTTTTTAATCAAATCATATTTTTAGTTTAATTTAAAATATATGCTGTCCATCTGAAATTAGTAGTAACTTGCCCCTGTATAGACAAGCCACTACTTAATTTGAGATGGATAGCATTTCTTGTTAACAACAGTTGTGCCAGTCATCTATCTATCTAACACCTTTCAGGGGAAACTTTTTGAACTGAAATAACATTACTTATGGATTGCACTGGAAAACTATATATAGTTAATTGGGACTTCCTGCCACTAAGCTTTTCATATCTGGTCTCAGCTTTCATCCATCTAACTCCATTCTCAAGATTAAAGAATAACAGACAAACAGAAGTATGACAGTGGGAATTTATAGATCTACAATGTTTGAAATTGCAGCCCCAAAAATACATTTTGGAAAAGTCAACTTCAATTAAATTATAAATTCAAAATTGTTATTATTCATATTTTTCACAATTTGTTATTATTGAAAGCAGTTTAAGTCCATATGTACCAAAAAAAATTGTTTATTTTCTTTAACAATTTTATTAATTATTATTACATTGTAAAATTTAAAAAGTTTATAGTTTTAAAAACATTACCTGAATTTATTAACATTTGTCAATATTTTTACAGTTTATTCAAACAGAAACCCTTAAATATCTCAATATATGAATAAATGGAATTATACCACTTTCATTTATAAGCAACCTTTACTTACATTCTTTTAATAGAACTTGCATAATGTAAAATGTTACAAGTTTCTTTTATACAACTAATTTTTTTATTCATTTAAAATAGCAATAAAAAAATTATATAACAAACTAATTTTAAATGATGATAATTATAAATTAAATATTAAAAAAACAAGCAATTATTTATTGTGACATAGTCACAATTGCTGAGCTGCAAATTTTAATTATCTTTTAACTTAATAAAAATCATGACTTTCAGTCCATACCAGAAAGTCATATATAGTTAATCAGGGTCTCTGACTCCTAAGCTTTCCATACCAAATCTAATTTTAGCAGTGTCTTGTCCCTGAATATCACGCTTCTCCTGATGATAACAGTATTGCCAGTCACCTAAGTCCATTCTGGAGAAAATTTTGAATTGAATCATGTGACTTTTGGTATAGACTGAAAGTTCGTGTATAGTTAAACAAGACCACCAGCACTCCTTATCTGGATTTCATTTTCATCTATCTAGCTCTATTTTCAAGATTAATGAAGAACAGACAGACAGATGGATGACATTGGGAATGTATAGGTCTGCAATTTGAAAATTGTAGCCCAATTTCTAATAGATTTATTAATAATAAAAAATGTTTTCCTTAATTAGCATTTCATAAATGTTCAATATCTGAAAACAACTAACCTCTTTATCCTTCTTTTTGCCAGAATATCCTGTAATTGTTCCAACATCTAAAGGAAAATCTATTAATTTATCTCCAGATTTTAAACTGTGTAAATGTAAAACATTCTGAAAAAGAACACTCTAGTTAATAACATATATTTATATAAAATAATAATTTAAAAAAATTAAAAAATGCAGACAAGAAAGAACTAAACCAATGTGTGTATGAAATACGTTTATTTAAATTTTAAAACTGTTGAGAAGAATTAAAAAAGAAAAAATAGGTCTATTTTAATATATAACACAAATACATTAATCAGATTTTTTATTTATTTATTTTTTAATACAATAGGTAGAGTCGTTGACTTAAGATTACCATCTCTAGACATAATAGTACAATAGTGACTGTTGAAAATAAACAGGAACAAATAATAATGTAAATTATAAAACAAACACACCTCAAATTGAGAAATATTAAAAGCAGCATGGGGAAAAAAATATACAACAGAGAATCTATAACTAGAAGGTCAAGGGCATGACTTTTCTATGTACAGCAATTAGGAACATATAAAAAAGCTTTATCCACGGGAAGAATGCTATAAAAATATTTAAAATATAAGATACAGTAAAAATATTCAATATTTTAATAATGGAAGGACCCAACCTAGACCTGACAACTCTGCTGCAGTCAGTATATGGCATATTAGAAAATTTATTTAATGAGAGGTAAACCTTGTTTAAGATAAGTTCATTTTTTCAGGTAGAGATGGAAAAGTTGCAGATCAAATGGTAACACAATAATCAATAAAATGAGTAAAGTTAGCAAAACAAACAAAAAACAAAAAAAAAAAAAACCCGAGGACTAAACAATTAGAAATGTGACAGCAGAATTGCCAGAGGATACCTCTTCTAAACCTCTTCTGATGACAAAATTCTTAATAAGTTTGCCAATGTGGTCTGAAAAGGTAAGGCATAAGCATTTATTGAATACTGGCAGATAAGCCTGGCGTTGCTTGGGCAAAAAGTAATGATAGTGAAGATTAAGATTATGACATTACAGCCAATCTTACCCGTTTTCACAGAATGCAAGAATTAGGTTCCCCTGTTTCCAGACTAATTAGAAAATTTTTCGATGGGTCTAAAATTATGTTCAATTTAACGCAAAAAATCGCATCTGTGCCTGTAAATCTTGCATGCTGCTTTCTCTTAACACTTCCATTGTTGAAGCCTTAATCCTGTCACTTTACCCCGGGAAGGTTTCAAAAAATCCCTTGTTAGTGTGTGTTCTCGTGACATACCCTAAAGCCAGATGCACACATGCAGTGCAGCAAGGAAAAGTGGCAGGATGATGTCACTTTTTCTCACCACAGAAGTCGATTTTGTGCCGCTTTTCTCGTGCTGCAAAAGTTGGTTGAATTTTATCTTTTGTGGCAACCACCGCCAAGACACATTTCTATCAGCCAATAACAATTCGTCTGGTAGTCACGTGAGAAAATACAATCACATGGTGTTTTAATGGTGGAAAGTTTGACGTGGTTAACTGAGATAACTAACATCAGAATAAAGAGAAAAGGATAATAAATTTAACATAAATTCTACACAAATAATCATATATAATTTAATTCAAAGAACAAAACAACCGAATCTTACTCGAAATAGTATTCTTTATCGAGGAATAAGTGTATGTTGTACACCAGTTCTTTATCAATCCAAGAAAATATCTCTAATCCAAAAGCTTCATTCGAATCTTGGACAAATTCTTCTAACTAAATAAAGCAAGCTGTACAAAACAAAATTTGTAAACACATGGATAGCGACAATATCAGTATTGTTTGCCATCTTGAATACTGAACGCATGTGCCAAAATGTAGGAAGATTGCCGCTGCACAGTGAAAATGCCTTTGCGACATCGCTTTTCCTTGCCGCGCCACATGTGTGCATCCGACTTAACCGTGTACCAAATTTCAAGTTTCAACTCCTAACCATGCTGAAATGCTCACAATGAAATGCTCGTATACATGCGCACCATCTACCGTAGGATAAATGTACTATGACAGAAACTTTTGTGGGAGTGTATTAAAAAACTTCCCAAAGTTTCATGGCAATCGGATAAATGGTGTAGTAATGCATGAAGAACAGAAGGACAGACACACAGCCAGACATTCATTTTTATATATATAGATAACTCCAAGATTGCAAATCATCCCAACATAAGTTACTGGATGATTAGATAGTGAATGGACAGAAGACTTTTGTACCAGCTGCACATAGTGAATTGACAACATCTTAGCTAGATTAATTTTCAGGTTAACCTATCCAAGGGATGTCCAACCCACGGCATCCTAAATTTTTTACGTACATTTTCATTTCTTTTGGTAAAGAATGTTGTAAAAATTATTCGCAATAATTTAAAGATGAATTCGCCCAAACAGGGACCACCATTTTTAATTTTGTGTTTAAGACAACACAATCCTGGCGACCAACCTTCCTTTATAGGCTACTAGCCGCCAAAATGCTAAAAAGTCCTTTTAAAATACACAAATTTTCCAATTAAAAAATATAAAATTTTTCTAAAATAGGAATTGGTGACATATGAATGTCTTCTTGAAACCATCTTGGGGTGTTTTGGTTTTATATCCATGAAGTAGCAAGTGCCGGAAAACGTAGATTTTGGAAAAGCCTCCCTCTAGTGACAATATTTTACAATTTTGATAACGAATTTTAATAACAAATTTATATACAATAAAAATGAAGATGAAATCTGCCCAAAAGGAATCACCATTTATTTTTTTATGTTCCAAGACAATACACTTTTTCGGCAACTGACCTTTCTTTGTAGGCTACATAGAAAAATAAATGGTGATCCGTTTTGGGCAGATTTCACTTTCATTTTTATTGAAAAATAATTCTAAATAAAAAAATAAATAATTTGAAAAGAATCATTGGACAAAAAGAAATTATAAATCAAAATTGTAAAATATTGTCACCAGAAGGAGGCTTCTCCAAAATCTACATTTTCCGGTACTTACTACTTCATGGATATAAAACCAAACACCCCAAGATGGTTAGATGGTTTCAAGAAGACATTCATATGTCACCAATTCCTATTTTAGAAAAATTTTATATTTTTTAATTGGAAAATTTGTGTATTTTAAAAGGACTTTTTAGCATTTTGGCCGCTAGTAGCCTATAAAGGAAGGTTGGTCGCCAGGATTGTGTTGTCTTAAACACAGAATTAAAAATGCTGGTCCCTGTTTGGGCAAATTCGTCTTTAATTAATTAAATTATTAAAAATGAAAATAACCATCGGACGAAAAGAAATTATGAATCAAAATTATTCTCATTACACTGGATACACTTTTGATGTCATAATGATGTAATTGGTGCTAGAAAACTGTACTACCCTACATGCATAACATACTATTGTGAACAATTCTTTTCTTGCATGAAAAACATCAAAACCACTGAAAGAAATAGGTTGAGTGATTCCCATTTAACTAACATTCTTATGTACTAGTCTTAATTCTTAGAACCAAAAAAGCAGATATTGACAATATTATAAATGGAAGGCAATGTCAAAACTCGCATTGAATTTATATCTATTTTGTGAGAGTATAATTTGTTTTTACTGTCACTAATACAGTATTTTATGTAATTATATAAATTTGTTAGTAAATTTTCGTCCGATGGAGAATTATTTTTCAATAAAAATGAAGACGAAATCTGCCCAAACGGGATCACCATTTATTTTTCTATGCAGCCTACAAAGAAAGGTCAGTTGCCAAAAAAGTGTATTGTCTTGGAACATAGAAAAATAAATGGTAATCCCTTTTGGGAAGATTTCGTCTTCATTTTTATTATATATAAATTTGTTATTAAAATTTGAATTTTCACATTCTTGAAATTGTTAAAAGCATATATATTTTTATAAAGTACTCTTGTGGCCTGCTGAATATACATAAATATCTAATTTGGCCCATTAGGAAAAAAGGTTGGACAACCCTGACCTACCCCATGTTGAAATTTTTCTGTTGCTTGTTGCGCCATGTTGAATTTTTGTCAACATTAAGACTAATGAAAATTACACATTTTTTAAATAATAATGCGCTATTGTATTGTCCAAAATTATTTTTTTATTTTGCACAAACAAAATAGATATATTAATAAATGTAAAAACAAAAAAAAAGTAGATTTCAGAAGTTTGTTTTAATATAAGAATTATAACGACTAGCAACATCTAGTTTCAAAAACATTCCGATGCTGAAATTAGATATCTCAAGTCAACCAGTCAAGGTCAGCAGGTCGTGACCCGAGATATATAATTAATAACACAGGACAGGTTAAGATTCAAGATTATTATTCAATAACTTAATGTCATTTTGGAAAAGACTTGAATTCAAATGAATCATTTTCATATTATTAGCAAATTGAATAATGTTAGAAGTGATATTTGCCTTAGTAACAGTGTAATCAATATAACATGTAAACAAAATACTGTTTGGGACAAAGCCTTGAAAGATGCCACACATTGGAAAACATGCAAGGAAAAATCTCAAGCTTAACACTAAATGAATGTAACACAAAGTAATTATTAAACCAATTTATAATCAAAGGATGAATATCTAAAACTATAAAATATCCAGAAACTGAAACAGTAACAATGGAATTGAAAGCTTGTTTAATGTCTAGATAGATAATAAAGGATGGTAACTTATATTCAAAATTATCAAGAAAAATAGTTTGTGTTTGTAACAAATTAGAGCACATGCTAATGAAAATACTTCAGAAAATATGTTTTCTTGTTATTTGATTTATTAGAAACGCTATTTGAATTTGTCCTAATTCTATAAGCTAATTTAATCACAGTTGCTTAAACAGAAGAATTGAAAAAATAACTGAATATGTTTTTTTTTAAATTGATGCTTTTCTTTTATTTAAGAACAAACTTGCATATCTAAAAATTTTACAAGCATTTTTCAATTCATCTATTCATCCAAAAATCATCATACCATTTGCAATAAGCAAAAAACTAAAACTTTTAAATAGTATAATTTTAATCAAATAAATATTTATTCTTACTTTAACATCTTGAATGTAACATATAACCAATTTATCCTTATTTACACAGGCTGCCCAATCTAATACGTTCTTGGAATGTTCTTTTATTAGTTCTGTCCACATTTCCTTTCAAAAATATTTTTATATATTATATAAATAATTATATATACACAAATAATCTTTAGTTATTCAATTTTATGAATATTAAAATATTATAATACCTCATTTGGTTGATTTAAATCAATATTTACTAAACGAAAACATGGAGCATTTTTGTTTGTACGAATAGTGCATATAGAACCCTCATTTGTAACATATTCATATTCTGCTTCAAAACGATCAACAATAGTAGTCAGTGGTAGAATACCTGATTCAAAAAAATTTTTTAATTTAGCAACAATAAATCAATTTACAAAATAAGAGTAGATTTTTTCACTTTTGCATTTAAGACTATTAATTATAATATGATTAAATGCAGTTATATCACCTGTTATTCCATTTGGAAGGGATTTCAGATCACAAAAATATAATAAATTATCTTTACATCCTTCCCGAATAATTACAATCAAATAACGACCACAATCACTTACAACTGCTCCTCTAAAAATAACAACAAATTTTCTTTTAAAATGAGTAAATATTTTAAAAATAAATTTTATAAAATTACAATAATTCTACTTAATTTCTAGAAAATTTTTAATTACTAAACACTTCCAATATGTAAGCTGGAACATATGTAATAATCACACCATCCACACTTTTTCCGGCAGCAACACATCACATCAGAAAGATGCAACAGGTACAAATGTTATTCCAAACTTTTATTTTATTATAGAGATTTGAATTGATTAATGTTGAAACCTGATGCAGGCCTCTAAATGTTGCAAAAATATTCATACATAAAAAAATACATTAAAGTATTGCTGCTGGAAAAAGTGTGGATAGTGTGATTTATTATAATTACTATAAAGTAAGATAACTACAAAAGTATATTCAAAACAAGAAATAATCAAAATAACTATAGCATAACCACTAGTATTACAAAACAGTGCAAGAGCTCACAAGGATTAAATATTCATTTCCTTCAAATGAAACAAACTGTACTGGCAACACTGACAATATTGAGGGAAAATAGGGCACCAGTGTATAGTTGAAAGGGGTATAAGTATACCTTTTTAGATTCTTCAGGCTCTATGGTGAGTGTATTATATTTGTAAATCCTTGTATATAATAAATCACATACTTGCATTGGATGTCTGAGTCTGTTTCGTTTGAAGGAACCAAATATATAATCAATTAAAATATTTTAAAATTTCTATTAACTATGTTTAAACAGCATAATTTAATTTCAACCAATAAATCTGACACACACAACAAACTGATAATTGGATAAAATAAATTTTTACTAAATCTAATATAAAATGATTTAAAAATTAGAATGATGAACAATGTAGATAAAAATAATGAAAAGCCAAATATTTCATAAGTTAATTTCAAATAATAAAATGAAATAGACAAAACTAATAAATAAATTAATTAATTAATGAACCTATCATCATAGAATAAATTTAAAACTTTATCATCTTTTAATGAATCTTCACAGGCTTAAATTTTTATTTTAAAAATTTAATCTTATTTTTCCAAATGTTACTCATTTAATTTATTTATTTATTTTATTTATTTAATCATTAATAACATTAATGATCAAATAAATTGGCAAATCTATTTATTAATTATTTATTAAATTTATTAAGTTTATATGTATAAACATCACTAAGCCTGATGTATTAATAATAAATAAATTTCTTCCAGAATATTCTAAATTAACTTGTAAATATTATAGTTATTAAATTTAATAAGAGATGGTGCCTAACATTTACCTATAGTACTAAATTACTTAATAGTTAATTATTAGTAATAGTACTTAATTTAATTACGGTGATTGTTTGGTTTATTAAGTTAATATGAAATTAGAATAATTTGATAACAACTTAAATCAGTATTAGTTATCCATTGTAAATTAAAGAATCAGTAATGTTTGGTCTATAACTAATTACAGTAGATCCCCTATAAAACCGTTTCCTATAGTTATGATTCCTATAAAAATTGTGGCAGTATCCGTAAACAACGGTAAAAATAACTCCTATAATACGTAAAACGTCATCGGGCAGCCGAACTACTTTCCCGCCGTCCGTAGCGCCACGCTACGGACGTTTAGGCGGATAAATTGAGTTTAGTATCGTCTGTTCATATAATTATATATAAATTAGGTACTGTACATATAATTATATATTAATTATATATAAATTAGGTACTGTATATATAATTATATATTAACTTAATTTATTGTAACTTTATTATAATTAAATATATATTTTTCGCCGTCTAGCGTCACGCTACGGCGAGTTAGGCGACCTATCGTCTGTCCAGTACTGTAATTTTATACATTTCTTGTGAAAGAAACATTTCTTATTTAACGGCCATAAAAATTATTTATATTAAGGATGTCTCCAAAGGTCAACGAAGTTTTCGCAGAAAAATAATATCAGAAATCGCGGCCGCGGTTTGATGCGCTGTTCCGCGACGAAACCAAGCTTTAGCAACGGGCGTAGTCGAACGGTACACACTCGGTAAGCAATCCTACAATTTTTTGTTTATAACGTAGTTTATACGGATTATTTTCAAAAAAATATACGTATTTTGGAAATGTTGAGTCGAATTAATCTAGAATCGATTAATTTTATGGAAGAAAACCTTTCAAACAGCCGTAGTCCATAAACTATGATTCCTACAAAATTGATTCATAAAGAACGGAACGTATCTACCGTCTTATAGGGGGATCTACTGTACTATTACTTACATTCTACTATACTAGATATCAAGAAATGTGGATAGAAATTTAATAAATAATAATAATTAATCATTTATAAATTTCAGTATAAAGTAAACACTCACATGTATATTACAAATAATACAAAACATGAGTGCCATTATCTGTATTATGTGATTGTTTTTATATGCCTAAAGATTAATGAAATTTTAACATTAATTGAAGACTAACAGATAAACAAAAATAATTATTTAATAATTACTTGTTCAAAATTATTTTTTAAATATCCAATAAAATCATATACATTTAAGTAAAATGTAATAAATTTTCTTGTGTCTAAACAATTACAAATAATTACTTACATCAACCATTTAGGATGTTCTGGCAGTTCAACACACAAAATATCTTCTGACTGATCTGTTCCTATTCTATGATAATACAATTTTTGATTTTCATTTTCAATTGTCTCTCTTCCATCATTTTTGCCTTTAATTGAAGGATATCTCTAAAATAAAATTTATAAATATTTGAAAGCAGTTCAAAACAATTTTATTACATTAAAATAAAACTTTTCATATAGTTGACTGTTTTCTAATTTAACTGATTTATAATTTTTAAAGACTTATTTGCAATTAAATATAAAGCTTAATATAGTACTATTAGTTTTACTTTTCATTTAATAATATTGTAGTTAACTGTGGATGATGAGTGCATTACAAATTAAAATAAAATTTATGGTTTTTCAGAGGATCAAAATTATCTCTGAAGAAAGCCATAATTTTATCTGTCAAAATAGTTTATTTAAACCTTTTCTTTTTAATCAAGTTTCTATTGTTCAGGATATGCAGTGCCATAATTAGACCTTGTACATAAGTTATACATAATTCAATAATTAATTTGCATCCATAATGCATTATACACTTTAATGGAACCACCTGCTTTATGATTTTTAATATTTTGAAATACTCCTCATATGTTTGATTGATATATTTAATCTGTTATTTCATGCAGTAATCATGAGATCATTTTGAAATTTAATATCTCAGGATGGATAAAGATTAAGGAAGAAAATTCGTCATGGTAACTCATATAAGGAGCATTGATGCTATCAAATTTTCATAGTTAAAAATCAAGGGGATTGAGAGATAGAAGAGTGCCATGTTCGACTAATGAAAATTTTACTTGTTATTGGTATTTACAATGTTTTTAGAAACTAATCTCTGCCATCAAAATTAAGCCTTTTGCCTTTTTATAATAGTTCATAGTATATAATAAAATAAACATTACTTTTTAATAAAATCTCTTAACACAAAATTTTAACTTTGTGAAAATGTATCTTTAGTGTTTCTTAAACCTAAATATTTTTTGCCAGGAAAGTTACGCAACTTATTACTACTTTAAACCCACAGAATTTTATAATACAAAAACTGTTTTGTCTGTAAAAAAACATCTAGAATAAGTACAGAAGTTTGACTAAATACACAATATTAAACTATTAAATGTTAATAAAAATGAAGAAAAGGGTCTGTTTTACTTTAATGTCCATCATTAATGAAAAGAATTTTAATGGTTAAAACAAACTTCCAGGTTCTAGACAAATCATCTAAACTTTAAAATTAACACATTCTCCAATCAAATTGATTATAGATTCTCTTATACATTAGTACAGAGTATCTATAATTCCAATGAATCTGAGAATCTTCACACTTTATAAATTATGCAGTTAAAGTAATTTCAGATCTCTCCATTTCAACACTGTATTCACTGATTTGTTCCCGCAGATACTTAAAGTATTTTAACAAAATACACAGCTGGCCAAGTGAAAATGCAACACCTGCAATATCTAGAAGCCTACATGGTGTTGCATTTTACTTGGCCAGCAGTATAATTAATGAACACCATATTAGATCATCTAGAATCAGAATACTAGATATACCTAATATTCTGTATATCAACACAAAGATCATTCTATACTAAAATATCTTTCATATTTGTTGTAATTTTTAGTTAACTCATTACTACTCTAAAAATATCAAAAAGTGGATTTTGTTTTTAGCTTAACTAAAATCTAATAAAAGTAATTTCAACTGATTTACAACAAACATTTCTCTACCATGCTTTGTACCATAAATCTTATTTTGAATTTGCTCCGTAATGTATACCACAAACTAACTGTGTAAAAACAATTACTATACAATATAATAAATAATACAATATCTGTTAAATATCAAAAATTTAATATAATAAATATTTAAAAATTATGATATAATTTACAAAGATTTATTTTTCTATAAAAAGATTTACTTAAACATTTTTTTTTATTAGTTTCAAATTTTTTTAAGTACTTAAAATCAGAATATCAACTTTCAGTTACTATTTGAATAAAAATCTAATCTAAAAACTGTTTTTATAAAATAATATATATATGACAAAAATTTATAATTTAATAACTTTTTGCCAAAATCTTATAATCTAAAATAAAAGAGCATATATGAAATAAATTCCATATAGCAAGGCCAACTGAATCTTTTTTATGATGATAATTATTTTAGTAAAAAAGAAAACAAATAAATATCATCAATATGTAATATAATATATATATTAATACAGTGGAACCTCGGTATACGACCTTAATCCGTTCCTGGTGTTTGGACTTATACCGAATAGGACGTATACCAAACCAACCTTTTCCATAAGAAGTAATGTAAAAATGATTAATCCGTTCTCATGTAAAAAAAATGGCTGGCTTTAAACACCTCGCTTTCCTCGCTAGTTTCTGCTTGATTTTTCATGAGATCAGCATGTATCCTTTTAACTTTCTCGCAAATAATTTCTTCCGATACGCTGTCGCCGGCACACTGTTTTTCAGTTATCCAAAGCAAAAGCAATTTCTCGACATGATCTAATGTCTTCGATCTCTGTTTAGAAATTGATTTAACCCCTTTCGCAACGTTAGCAAATTTAATAATGTCTTTATTTTTCACGATTGTCGATATCGTCGTTCTCGGAATACGGAATGCAACAGTTAAATCTCGAACACGCGTGCCACCTTCATATTTCTCAACAATCTCTTTTTTCAGTTCCGTTGTGATTCTAGTCATTTTTTTATTTTTCTGTTGCCCTTTTGCAATTCATGATTAATAAAAATAATAAAATGTTACTTACAAATTAAAATCAGAAGAAATTTAACAAAGTTATAAACCGTAGCACCGCGAACGTCTAGTCTGGTGTATTACACCGATAGTGCTACTTGTTCATAGATGGCGCGTATAATTGAATTAAGTCGTATACCGAACAGAAGTCGTATACCGAGCAAAATTTGTTTCGTCCAAACAGGACGTATTCCGAATTGGACGTATTCTAAAGCAGACGTATACCGAGGTTCCACTGTATATATTATCTTATCAAGTATAATTAAAATACTAAGAGAAAATATTTTGTTTTTCACAAGTGATATTTTATAAAATATTTTGAATAAAATAGTTGATGCAACTAAATTTAAAAATTATCCAAATTTTTATAATTTTTCTATTGTATTAAAAAAGCATATCATTGTATATATCATACAATAATTTAAAATACAGAAAATTTCAATAATAATTTAACAGATTCTGTTGTAAGGAAGTTTATGAGTATATCTAATTTAAATTAGCTTACTGAATAAAAAAATCCCTTGTGATCATGTGTCCATGCAATTGCTGAAAATTTAATATTTTCTAAAACTTCTGGAAAATCTTCTCCTGTTTCAACACGTTTCACCTATAAAAAATTACTATTTTTAGATTATCATAAAATATTATTATATGTTTTTTTTAAATTAACAATTACACAGTAAAATGTGTTTATGTTGGAAACCTTTGGTTCCATTAGAATGTGTCCAATTTAGACATGTGTCCATGATACAGAGTGAGTAGTTTTTGTCTGAAAGTATGAAAATTAATTTAAATTTGCAGGCATAGTGTGCCTATTCTAAGATGTATGAAACAAAATGTGTCTCCATTGAGTGAATAATGTTAAAAATACATCACTTTTCAAAAAGCTTCTTGCAATTTTTGTAGTGTGTTGAAATATGCATTAGTGTTTTGTTTCCTGTACCATGAATTCCATGAAAATTAGTCTTCCTATATTCCAGAGCAAACTTCTAACTTTTTGGTACATTGTTAATTTGTTTGAATTTTTTTTATTTTTGGAAAATTCATATATCATATTATATATATCTACTCTGCTGACAATTTGTTTGCTTTAGTATTAATATACCATATCTCACTGCCAATCACAATTTGTTTCCATGTTCTCTTATCAATTAAACTGTGAAGAGACAGGATTTGTCATTTCATAGTTTTCTTACATCTTTATGTTCTTCATTGTTGCATATTTCCTTTTAACTTAGCTTTTCATGAACAATGTTATTTATGCTCTATTTTCAACAAAATCTTTAATTAAGATTTAATTCCACTTCAATTTTCCAAAATTAATTTCCTTAATGTGACATATCCATTACAGTTAATGAAATGTTTGGTCTATCATTTCAACATTTATCACAGATACTTGTCCTTCCACTATTAAATTTATGCATCATTCTACCATTGTTAAACAATCAATGCATTATCACCATTCATTGTTATCACTTATGAACTTTAATGGATAAACATTCTTCATCTATAAAAATTGGACAATGCATAGTTCTAATACAGAATCATATGGAATTAGAATTTCAAATAAACAACTGCTGTCAATAACATCAACAAATATATCATTATTGTAAATTACCTAAATAAATAAAAATGTATAATCTAAGAACCTTACTTTTTGAACTGCTATTATAAATAGATTTTAATAAAAATGTTTACATTCTAAGCAATAACTATAAAATTGAACATTAATAAATTGTTTAAAGTTTGATGAAGTGTTGAATTAGTTTCTTAAGAAGTCAATTATTTTATCCTGAATAAAGATTTAAGAGTTTCTAAAGTTTCAAATCAAATTAAATTGAATTCATGCTTTAACTGACAATTATAAATTGAATCATTCAATAAAATATTCATACAATTGAATGAGTGTCAATTCATATGCTTGTTGTTGGCATATTAATTGAAAGAAAAGAGAAAAAAGCAATCTAATTGAAATTTGACTTTTTCATATTTATATACAATAACAAGCTTCTAACCTTAATTTTAACCCAGTCAGATCCACTACTACTTAGACCATATGCAAAATATTCACCATCTTCAGAGAAAGAAGTAATACTTAAAGATACTGTGCCATCTTCAGAGAGTTCATTTGGATCAAAAAATATTCTTGGTTCACCATCTAATTTATCCAATATATATAATACACTAGAGTGAAAATAAATTATAAATTATTAACTATTAGAATATATAATTATGAAAAATTATAAATTAAAATCATTCACAATAAAATATTTATTTCAAATGAATATAAAAAATACCTAACTATAAATACATTAATTATTAATTAAAATATTAATAAATTTAAAACACTTCATTTATTCATTATCAAAAAATATTGATTTATAAAAAAATTTATTAAATACAGTGTGTTTCAAAAACAATACAATTCTCTCTTGTGTTTTTATACATAAATTTTTATTTCTGTATTTAAGTTTAACAAAAAACACAAATTACTATTTAACTTTACAACAGATGTTGAAAACAGCTTCCTCTAACCTGGATACACTTTCATACCATTTCATAACATCTGTAGTCACTTTATAGAAAGTTCATTCACTTGTTTGAAATCTCTCTTTCAATGTTTGCCTTCAAATCTTCAAGTGTATAAGAATTGTTTTTAAGCACAGTAGCACTCAGATACCCCCAAAATTAAGAATCAGGAAGTGTAAGTGAAGATAACTTTCTCAGAGATTTTCTGGATGAGCATGTTAGATGCTGAGACACATTATCAAGAATTTCACGAATTAATCAAACAAATAGCATATTGTTGACCTGTTAGAAACTGCAGTCTGAGGAATAACCTTCAACTGAAACTCCTCTCTCAAACCTTGTGAGACCTGTATGCAAAATAAGACTCAACAATAAATACACATTTGTCTTTAGAAGGCACCATATCTAACAACAATGCAACAGAGTGATTAAGTGAGACTAGTGTATGACCAGATTACTTCAAGAGTTAGAGGCAATTAACTTTCAGTGCAGTGTTGCCAACCTACCTAATGATAACTAAAATGTAACTGCACATTACATTTTACTGTCTCATCTTTTGGTTTGCATCCTTTTTGAAACGTCTTGTACTAATAAATGAATAAATACTTATGATACAAATATTTATGAATACTTGTACAATACATTTATTTTTATTTTCTTAATACTAAAAATGATGAAAACATTTGAACTATGATTTTTAAGAACACTGCACTTATGCACCACTTTTTTTTATCTATTAATTATTTTGTTTTGCTTTTTGAGTTTTTAATGTGTTTGTTATTCAGCTATCACAAAAAAAATTGCATATCTTTTTTTTAATGTTTGATATTAATAAAAGCTATATTAAAACATTTTAAATTTTAAACTTTTTTTTACACCAAAATCTATTTGATATTATACATTATATTTTTTCAGAATCTATACAAAATATGTAAAAAAAAATTTACCTTTGATTTTGGAGACCTGTATTGAAGTAGTAATAATATCGTGAACCACGTCTGAAAGGACAGCTGTATTTTGGATAGTTCCATAATTCAGTAAGTCTACAAAAATTTCAAATTTAATTAATTACATTTGCAAATAATTTGTGTGCAACTCATTCTCTAAAATCCACAATAAAAAAAAATCCAGATTTAATACATTCTAAATTTTAAAATTTATATTTAAAAATTATTGAAATAGTTATGTTTCATATTAAGACAACAAACCCCTGCCAAACATAAATATATAAAACATAATTTGTTATAATAAAACTTTTTATTTTAATTAAAAGTCTGTATGTAATTCATTACATATCTACGTTAAAATGGCAACATAATGTATTAGAATATAATATGTATAATTAAAAAATAATTTTTATGATTAAAATTGTGTTGTCTCAAATTTCCAAGACATGAATGAGGAAAAAAAGTCTAAGTTCCAGGAACAGAAAAATAACTGTAACTCAGAAATCCTATTACACATAATAAAATCATATATTTTAATAAATTATTATTTCTGAAATTAATATTTGTGCTTACCTTTCTTTCAATTTTTGTCTATGTTTACATGACTCAAGAAATGGGACAGTAATTTCATTTTGAGCTTCAATAAAATTTTTTGTCTCTTCTGAATCAGGATCCTCTAACCAACGATAAGGATCAGTTACCTACATAAAAATTTTTAATTCAATTATAATACAAAAAAAGTTTTAAATCTTAATATTTCTTATTGTATCTTATATAATCTAGTAGAGAATAAATTTAAGAAACATATTGTTTGACAATACAGTCGATCCCCCTATAAGATCATTGATTTTTCCGTTTTATCTGAATTACATGTTGTACGAGTCACTTAGATTTTACAAATACGTGTGCCGGGCTGTGAACGGCTCACATATTTGTAAAATCTAAGTGACTCGTACAACATGTAATTCAGATAAAACAGAAAAATCAATGATCTTATAGGGGGATCGACTGTATACACATATATATCTGTTTGTTCTTTATGCATTTGAAGATAAGAGCAAATGCAACCAAACTTTCCAGAAATTGTACTTTCATCCATAAGGTCTCAGAACTACTTTTTGTCCTAAAAACAATCAGTTTTCCAACAACAACAGGGTGGTCTCTGTATTTAACCAATACAAGTGTGGCATCCTGTAGTATTCGAGCACTATTGAACATCACACTGAACAATTGCAGTACATATACCTAGAAGTTTTTTCAGGATTATTTTACATTATTATTATTACATTTTTAACTACCTCCTAAATCAAGTTTCTAAACTGATACCTAGTTTTTGTAATGTCACACAATGAGACTGATTTTCAGATCAGTTAGTACTTTCATTGTGAAAGTGAGCAGTTGTTAAGCAAAAACACTGGCAGATAAATCATGTTGTAAGTAAACTCACATGTTGATTTTCAGCACTAGTTGGCACATACATCTCCAGGGATATAAAGTTTTCAAGCAAGCTGTAAGTCCATTGGCCATTGTTTTCTTTGGAACAACAGGTAGCATTTGATAAAATTAAATTGCCTTACCCAAAGCTATAAACATTGTATATCAATCTGTCTTACAATAACAACTATTTTTTAATGTCATAGACACAATATCAAATTTCCATAAACAATGCCAGGTACTGTACCTCTAATAGTTTTATTTCTATATGATAATGTAGAAAAATAAAATTATAAAATCAGCAGTTTAACACAATGTAATATCCTTTGTAATCTGTAAGTCCTTTTTATTTATTAGAGAGGTTGAGACGCAAGTTCAAACGTTAAACTTGTACGGCAAGCAGAAGTACATGGTTTACATTTTAAGTCCACGTAAAAGACCTTACGGTGCTCATTCACTACATTACATGACTCATTGAATGTCATGCATTGATTCAGGGAAAATTTGTTGAAAAAATGGAGGATATATTTAACATTACTAGCAAAGATAAATAAACAAATTAAGCTGTTTAAAAGTATTTATAGGATGTTTAATCACTAAATAATTATTTTTAATTAGCGTCATGTCTCCTATTATATGATCAGACAAAACGACTACCTCATACTTTTGTCGAGAGAAGTAGTGGCTTATGTAAATTTGAAAGCAGCTCGGAAAATTAATTTTTAGAAAATTTACAAACGTATTATACTGTTGATGGTAGATGATGCCATGGAAGAACAAACCTACCTTAAGATAAGTTATTATGAAGGCAAATACAGTGGGTGATTGGTTAATGAACACTTTTGCAAAAGATTTTTGTGTTCGGACAACGAACACATGATCGGATAATGAACACCTCACAGAACAAACACAGAAGAAGTGACATAAAATAATGAATACTGATTGGTCTTCCCTTGTCTTCAGGCAACAATTCGAAACTTTTCGGAGTGCAGAAGACATCAACATCAACGCTCAACCCAGTATATACCGATTGGATAGTATTCCTCCAAACTTTGAAACTCTCCCTTGTAATTCCAGCCTTTTATTTTTCTGACAAAAACAATTCTTTTATGTATTTGCGAGACTGTCAGGTAGGCACTCGGTTAAGTTTTGCGTCTGTTTTTCTTTTTGAAAGGTGAGAGTATAACAACAAAGGTAGAGAGCGGGCAGATGATGCTTAATGTTGCTGGGCAGTATGGCGTGAACAGGTAGGCTGCAGTTCAATCTTATTTAAGAAAGATACTGTATAATCAAGACGACTCAAGCAGCTAAAGGAGTAACAAAAATCATATCTGAGAAATAAAGAACATCGAAGAGTTCATAATGGAACCTGAAACGGATCTGACAACAGAATAACGTCAAGAAACTCAGCATTATTCTGTCTTTTCAAGAAGTGGGAGGATATCAGAACAACGGTCTTAGAATGGCATCCAAACCAGGTTGAGGCTTGGAGATTTCTACAATTTTACAATGCTATTAATTACTTCTGAAAAATCCTGAAGAGAGAAAAGTAATCGACATTAGACAGATTCTTTAACCTTTTAAAATGAAAAAACATGACTAATAAAACTGCAAGACTGTGTATGTATGTATTTTTATTATTTCATATAAATAAACCTAGTAAGAAAGTATATATTTTTTATTTTTGAAAGTCTCCAGAACAAATTAATTAAATTCCCATTAAAACCTATGGTATCAATAAATCGATAATCGGTTAATGAACGATTCGGATAGCGAACAAAGTCTTGGAACGGATTATGTTCGTTAACCGATCACTCACCATATATGTAAATTCTATAGGCACTTCACATCACTTGCTAAAAAAATTGAATAATTAAATAATTTCTGGATTAAAATCGTCTGTTTATTTAGAATATTATTCGTAAATGGTTAAATAATCATTATTTTAATAAAATACATTATAATTTTAACCATAAACACAAAAAATATGAAGAAGTTTAAACCCAACTTCTGCTCACCATGCTAGACATAGCGAATGCCATTGTCAATCTTCTAGACTTGCCAGATGGCAGCGCTCATCCATCCACCATTCACGTTTTGGGCTGAATACGTGTGCCTAAACCTTTATTATTTGTGATTTACATGAATAGATTATTGTATGTCTTTGATTTTAATATTATCACACATACATACTGTCTGCCTAGTGATGAAAGAACGACAGTTAACAGATTGCCAAGAAAAATCAACTCATACTTGAAAGGGAGAATAGTTTTGTTATTAGCAATTATCAAAGTATGTAAATGAAGCAGTTTTGTAACTTGCTCACTTGCTGTATTGCACATTTTCATTTCAGTAGCTAGATTTTTGTTGTGTTAAACACTTTACAGTTTAACTTCATAGTTTCCTTTATTCAGCTGCAATTTGAAAAAATTGAAACCTATAAATTCCCACTGTTGTCTGTCCATCTGACCTTCCTTAATCTCGAGAATAAAGTTAGATAAATGAAAGACAAAACCAGATATGGAAACCTTAGGAGCAGGAGGTCCCAATTAACTATATATAAACTTTCAATGCAAACTGGAAGTCATGTTATTTCAATTCAAAAATTTTTCTCTGAAAAATGTTAGATAGATAACTGGCACAACTCTAATGTTAAAGAAAAGTATGATGTATAATAAGGATTAGAAATGATAAAGATAGTAGAACAGAAAATCAGAATATATCAATAACACCAAATGAAATTGAAAACAGAGTAACAAACATGGGAAAAACACTCAGAACATGAGAAAAGTAGGTAAAAGAGCATATATTGTAGTGGCTGTAAAAAAAAAAAAAAAAAAAAAACACTTAGGACAGCAGTAGAAGAACATATTTATACAAGATGCAAAACCATTGTGTAAATAGAACTCATACCCAGAATAACATTCTTATACAAATAATAGAGAGTTAATAATAGTGAAAGAAGAAAACCACATAATCAATCAAAGACATGAGGGTCTGACCTTAACCCATGGATATGGACTGTGAAATTGATGGTGGCAAAAAAAAAAGAACAAAGATGAGAATGAACTAAAGACAAAGTAATTTGGTTAATAGATTTAAAACAATATACTTATTTTGGTTAGCTTTAGAAATAACAGAGTTAGTTTTGGTTTTAGTTTTGGAACTGTATACAGTAGATCCCCCTATAAAACCGTTTCCTATAGTTATGATTCCTATAAAAATTGTGGCATTATCCGTAAACAACGGTAAAAATAACTCCTATAATACGTAAAACGTCATCGGGCAGCCGAACTACTTACCCGCCGTCCGTAGCGCCACGCTACGGAGAGATTTCTATCGTCTGGACAGTATTATATAAATTATATATAAATTAGGTACTGTACATATAATTATATATTAATTATATATAAATTAGGTACTGTATATATAATTATATATTAACTTAATTTATTGTAACTTTATTATAATTAAATATATATTTTTCGCCGTCTAGCGTCACGCTACGGCGAGTTAGGCGACCTATCGTCTGTTTAGTACTGTAATTTTATACATTTCTTGTGAAAGAAACATTTCTTATTTAACGGCCATAAAAATTATTTATATTAATGATGTCTCCAAAGGTCAACGAAGTTTTCGCAGAAAAATAATATCAGAA